CTTCTATCAAATGCTTACTTAATATAGTAGAATGCCTTACTATATATTTGTACCATATATTATGTCTAAAACATTGTCTCTGTCCTTAAGGACTTGCCACTAACCTGTGAATATCTGCAAAATGAACATTTGTGTATGCAGAAAACACATGGACAAATGCACATGTGTACACATGTGCACACACATGTACAGGGTTAGTCCCAAATAGCAGTACAAGGATCAAGTCCTTAAGAAATGTGAAGCACAGTGTAGATAGTGACAGAAAAAAATTACTCGATAGCCTCCTCAAAAAGTAGAACTGGTTCCTGTAAGACAAAATTCAGGTAAAGGAAAATAGCACTAGTCCTGGAAAGGTAGAATTTAGGTAAGGGAAAGCAAAGAAACAGAAAAAGGAAAGATCACAAAGGCAAATATTAATAGTCTGACATAAAATAAGTGCTCTAATTGGGAAAAAGGCTTCATTCTGGGTACCATACAAGTAAAAATTAGAGAAGAAAAGGATTAAACTATGGAATGGGAATATAAATGATAATTTCACATTGCTTAGTCTCCAAAAATAATTTATAAGAAATATCAGGCTATATTTATTCTACTCTTCTAATGAATCAACCAACCCCAGGTACATATCCATACTCTACTATACAGAATTTTACTATAATGGAGTTGAATAAAAACATTAAACAGAGAATGTTTCAGCTTTTTTCCTTGAATGTAAGGATCCTTAGGTTCTTGGATTCTGCAAGTAAAATGCTTAATTCATCAGTTTTCCTTTTGAGCTGGTTCTCGAGTTCTGTGTGTGAGCTTTCAAAAAGGCTATGATTTTTCCTAACTTTTATCTTTGTCCCTAGCATCCAAGCAGTTTGTCTGGTACTTCTTTTCACAGTATTATCAATTCCTTCCCTTCAACTCCCCAGCCTTGTATTTAAGTCAATCTACTATAATGTCACAAGAATTACTCTTCTGCTTGCTGTAGTATCTCCAAATTCCAGAAAATCTTATATGTGAGTATCATTAAACCATAATTTATTGAATATACTTTCAGATTGCTCTTCTTTAAAGCATTTTTCTGATTGTGTCAAATTCAAGATTATTTTAGTGATAAGCTCCATTTTGAATAAAACAAGCACTATAGCTTGATATTTACGTCACTCAACAGTCTGGCCCCCACTTCATACAATCTAAATTCTGTTTTCCTTTATATAGTCAAAATTCCTGTCAAACATAATATTCAAAGATTTCTAGGCATATATTGAGAGGTTTTTCTTATAGGGTACGTGCGCTCACCAGAAAGACAGAGAGAGACAGAGAGACAGGAAGTGAGAAATTACCCCCCAGGGTGGATGGCCACATCACAATCCCTTCTCCTCTATTCTCCTCTCAGGATCTTGGGCATGCACGCACACTCGCCCAGCCTGAGTTTAAGCCACTGGGTCTGAGACTCGAACCACGGTCAACCACATAGCCATTCCGCTAACTGCTGGTCCCATGAGTTTTGGATTCCAGGTTGAAATTGTTCTTATCCTACAACTTCAGATAATATTTTCTTAGGTAAGGGAAAGCATAGAAGCATAAAAGTGTTTATTCCATTGACTCAGAATAATGTACTCTGAATTTGAATTTGTCTCCCAAAGTTTATGTGTTGGAAATATAATCTCCAATGCAATAGTGTTGATAGGTGATGCCTAATAAGGGTTCATTAGTTACCTAATTAATATCATTATCTCAAGAATAGACTTGTTATAAAAGTAGGTTTTCTCCCTGTTCTTTTTTCACTCTTGCCCTTTCTCATCTTCTTGCCTTCCACTATGGGATGATGCAACAAAAAAGGCCCTTTTCAGATATGGGCCTCTTGATCTTAGACTTCCTGGTCTAAGAAATTATAAGAAATACATCTTTGTTCTTTATAAATTACCCAGCCTCAGCTATTTTGCTATAGCGACACAAAATGGATGAAGAAATGCTCCCTATACGTTTTAAATTCTTGTGTCATATCATTGCACTTTCTTGGATCTTGCTTACTTCATGAATTACAAGAAAAAGTAGGAGGGGAAAAGGGGAATTTTCAAGGAAATAAACCACATATATATGAAGTGCTTAAAAAAGAATTGAAATATAAACTACAAAACTCTTTTTCATATTGTTTGTAGCCTCATTTAGAGCAACACAGTATATAAAAGGTAAAACAAATCATTACTTATATACATAGCACTATGAGAGCTACAAGAAGCAATTATTATGCTGCAGGCACCCATTTCATTTCCAAGATTCTTATAAAGTAGGTATGATTACTTACCTCATTTTCAGATGAGAAAACTGAGGAAAGAAATAGCGTTTTGCCTAATCCCACTCAGCTACTAAGTGTTTTATCCGCTATCAGAACTTTAACAATCTGGCAGCAGAGCCAGTATATTGATACCATTAGGCACTACTGCCTCTTACTCCTGTTGCATTAGCATAATTATCTACTCCAAAACAACAGGAAATACCATGACTTCAGTTCAGGACCGACAAGTATGCAATCTAAATGCTCTGTACAAGTTATTTTACTTCTATTTAATTTCCAAAATGGAAATACATTCGATTAGATGCAACCAGATTTTGATTAAGACAATTAGATCAATATTCTTCCTTTGCCACATAAAGCACAAGAAATAGCTTCAGATTCTTTAGCTATAAACACCTTAAAATTCTATCAAATGAAGACACAGAACACCCAAATAATAGTACATTAATATTTGACATGTAATACACTAAAATTTAATGACAGCAGCAGAAACAGAGTCAAAGGATGAATATTGACTTACAAGATAATTAAAAATCTGGTTATAATTTATGTAATTTAGAAAAAGACAAGGTTTGGGATCCCTCTCATTTTTATCTTTTCTAACGTTTATGGCCAAGTGAAGAGAAGCTTTTCTTTTATCTTGGGTAAATAAATACAAGAATTTTTCACATACACTAATTAATATGTATATAAAATGTAAGGTATATTAATTATAAATATTTTAATTTTATAAATCCATAGTGGCAATACATCAGACATTAAGTATACAATTTTTACATATCATTTTTTATATACTATTATTTCTCTAAGATATTTGCGTATCGTTTTTATATACTATTATTTCTCTAAGATATTTCGTGAGCAAATGTTAATCAAATTAGTAATATAATTAAAAATCTGAAATAACAGTTGCCAAATGAAGAATATGACTCGCCTAACAACACCATGATTTATACGAATTATTATTTTGGGTTGTAAAATACAGTCTTTAATACATTATTTTATTAAATCATTAATCCTTTCGTTTAATATTTTAGCACTAGATAATTGTATTTAAGAAACACTTCTTTACATATCCCCTATCTATGCTTTATAACAACCACTATATGCTGCATATGCGCGTGGGGAGCTGCACCAATACCTTAAACACTTTTATTACAAATGTCTTTCATTTCTCAGAGATAGGTCTTTTTTTAAAGGGGGAAAACAGGATCTAACTCTTGTTTGCTCTTTAAAGTTTTATTGTTTTAGCATTTTATACAGGGATTGAGCATTAGCATACTCAGGAGAACTGCTGAAAGTAAAAGGCCTCGAGCTACCCACTGCATGGCTGATAGGATAAAGCCAGGATATAAAAACTTTTGTCTGATTGCTCACTTTCCTTGTTTTAGAGTACTGCTACTCTCAAGAGCATATATTCATGTTCTTTCTACTTCGAGTTTTATTACTTCTTTTGTATTATTTAATACATCTAAAGACACTTCCAAAAGACAAATTTTTCCATTTTGAAAAAGTAATGGTTTGGAACCTGATAAAACACATTAACGTTCATGGTGTGTTTTTCGCAAAGGTGATAGAGTAAAAGTGCTATAAAGCAATTAGGCATATGATCTTAAAGACGTTAATATGTCAAATAGGATAAGATGTTTAAAAAGTCAACAAAATAATACCTTGTGAAAAGTCTCATGCAAATGGACATATAAAAAGACTGTCTTTTTCAGGTCTTTGGCTAGATAAAATAAAAGAAGTATATATAAAAATAAGGGGAAAAAAAGACTTATCACAATAACTTGAAATTCAAAATATATGTTGTTTATCTCTAGGAAGTATGGACATGAGTTACCACTGATTCCAACAAATGAATAGTGTATATGTATCATTATTCAGATTCTAAATTTTTTTCCCATGGATTCTAAGTTCTACCAGGGTCAACACTTTTTAGTAAACAAGAAACTGATACGCTTGACACTATTGAATAAGGCCAGGCATTTTTTCAAGTGTCATACACATTTCTGAAATCCACAATACATCAATTTTTAATACTTCTACTCTCTCAGCTCCATTAAAAAGATGGTAGGGGAAAGATTTTAGAGTAATTAATGATATAGTTAGCTGCTAAATATTAATAGGAATCGTAGTCTTGCATAAAATATAACATATAAACCTTGCCAATACAGACGCACCAGTAATTAAAGTTGAATATGTAATTACACTGATTTATAAGACAGGCAAAAAGTTACACTTTACTAGCTTCTATGTAAACTGTGGGTAACAGTTAAACTTTGAATTTTACGGTTTATAAAAATGGGCAATATCTTGACTACAGTTCATAAATGGTTTAGAGACCTGCAATAGTAGTAAAAATTACGACAACTTATTCCATCATGAATATTCTTACTGCATCACACAAACCAAAATGAAACAATGACCCATAAGATGTAGATCCATCTCAGACACTGCTTTACACCCAAGAGAATGTTAGCAGTACTAGGAATTTGTAGAACAATAATTAAAGGTCATTTGAGAAAATCTAAAAGATGGATTAAAATTTGATTTAGATACACTTTTTCATGTTAGGAACATGGTACAATTTAACTCCACTTGAACTCGAATTTGTTTTTACTTATATACCATTAACAACTTTAGAAGAATACTAAATTTTAGAAGCATATGAATATAGGTTCTTGCCTGCAGGGAATCTGTTAACCATACTTACATGTGGGGCTGAGGTGAGCAGCCTGGACTGCTGTTGCCATTGCTGTCGATGTGATCCAGGGAACCATTGAGGTCTTCGTGGACAGCCTGCAGGAGGCCACTGGATGCATTATTGATCAGACCAGGGTTACTTAGTAAAGGTAAACTGCTCTCCGCTAAGGCAGCCTAGTGAAAAGGAGAGGGTGTAAAACAACTTTTAGAATGCCCTTTAAAATCATTTTTAAAACCTATCTTCTTGGAATGGGTTCCAGTTGTGATACGGTTATTTTAGAAGCATTTAAATAAGATGTATGGGAAAGACAGAAATTCCTAATTGGCCACTTGTGGCAGAGATAGGAAGAAAATTAAGTAGGATATGATAATATAAACAATGCTTCTTACAGTAAACTTTCTCAATCATGTCTTAAACTTGCACATAGTGAAATCTTGAGTCCTCGTATGTAGAGAAGAAACACTCCAGGATAATATAAGCAGTTGCTCTGCTTTTTAAAAATGACCAGAACTTAACTCAAAATAAAGAAGTCCTGACATTTGCCTCCTCTGCATAAAAATTATATATTATAATTAAACTTTAAAGTTTTTGCCACAAGCACCATGTTCCCCAACACTATGATGTGAAATCATTTATGACAGCCTGGATAAATATTAATGCACAGTCACATGCATTTGCAAAAGCTTCTATCAATCTAGCATTTGCAGGAAAACCGAGTGTTCCAGATTTTGCCACAGGGTGTCCTTCTTGCTTCTTCACATCAAAAGTAGCCTGAATTAGAACCAGTGCTTTCTTCAGTACTAGGTACTACAACTTAGCTGGGTGATAAACCAACTATTAAGAGCAGTCACAATCCCGTCTAAATACAAAGCCAGGCCAAAAAAAAAAGAAAAGAAAAAAGCCAAGACATTCAAATGTAATAGGAATGGGAAAAACGTATTTAATATTACCTGCAAACTGGCATTAAGAGCTGCTCCATAGCCTAAACTGGTAGGTATATTTTTTACTAAGGTTGGGCTTCTAGAAGAAAAATAAAGATGATTTGTAAGTCAAAATATAAAATATGTGGATAACAATAATTTCAGCTAGGAAGATAAGTTCTGATATATTGTCTTACGCTATTAGTCCAGAGTGAATATATCTAAAGCCACCGAAATAGGGTGATAATTCTCTGTATACTACATGTGCACTTGGTCCCAATGTAAGGAATGAAACTTCAGGCAACTTGTGCAGGTAAGGTAAGACATGACCTTGAAGAGTCCTAAACCTGTTTCTCTAGCTATGTGAAGGTTTCATTTCTAAGTAGAACAACATTCATATAAAATTTTGAAAATGTAAATATACAACACAATTACCAATTTGATGCAATCAGGAAATAATTAATGGTTAATTTCTAGAACACCATAAATTAACATAACAAATTACCATAGTTAATTAAATGACAACATAATGGATTAACTATTTCTTGAATGGAGAAATTAGCACAAACTTGACTACAGAAATCAAAGCTCAAGGGCCAATAGTAGATAAAACACACTAAAGTCATTTCTTCACATTAGGCAGCAGGGTTTTGAGGGAACTAGGAAATGCTACATGGAGTTATTTAGGCACAAAATATGCCTATTATATTTCTGACTTCAGTTTGGCAATCGTGCTTTAGAAAAAAATTTTAAAATTTCAAATTGCCCTTGCAGTAATTTTCTTATACTACCATGTCTTGATGATCTCAATTGTACTATATAGAAAACTGGGAGGGCTGGGGAAAAAGGAGGGTGGGTCCAAACAAAAAAAGTTTAGTTTGGAAAATAAACAGTACACAGAAAACAAAAATCATTATATTTTTAATAAAGTCTTCTTAGAAATTCTTCATAAAATGTATGTAACATTAACTTTATTGTAAAATAGCCTTTTGTCCTCTACCAGAGAATAGTATTGTGTAAAAAAATGAAAACGAAAACATAAACAGGCAGATGTCTCATCTGGAGAGCATATTCCATCCTGAAAAATGATTTTATTGATACAAACAGAATGCTCAATTGATGAGAACAATAACCATAACAGTCTTGAGATTATGTTTATGGGAAAAATTGGTAGGATAGTGTTGGTCCATGCCAGGTATGCCTAGATTCAAAGGCAGTTAGCTGCCAAGGAAACGTTAGCAGACCCCTAGCTAAATACTCTCCTCACCCCAGCCCAACTTAAAAAGTGTTCACTTTTTCTCTGGAGGTAGAGCACAGGATTACAAAGTATCACAAACATACCCTGTGATCTTTTGTGACCTTCTCTTCTGGTATTCTACTTCATCCACAGTCCATACTGCTCCTTTAACATTTTCTACTCGAACAAAACACTTGTGCAGGCTAAGATTATGACGTACTGCATTCTAAATCAGATGGAAAGGAGAAAAGGCGGCAAAAATTAATATTATTTAATAAGACAGCCCAGCATACCACATTATTGATCTTATTTGATAGAGTGAAAAATCTTCACATGTTTAAGTATTAAAATC